CCGCATCGGGGCATCAATTAACGAGCGAGGAATTCGCGCGGCGCGCCGCGATCAGGTGTTAAACGCGCGTCGCGCCTCGCAATCGACGCGGATCTTGCCGCCGGGTTCCCTCACCTTTGCCGCGATCGATCCGCGGATGAAAGTACGGCGCACTAACGACGTGTCGATCTGTCGCCCGAAGATGGAAGGCCTGCCGTCGCGCGACTGCGAAGACAAATTAAACGAGTCCCTGCGACCTTAGAGGGATTCGTCAGATTTCAAAGATGCCTCCATGGTTTCTCTCGGGAACACATTTCCAAGATGGTTTCTCGATTCCTCTCTTCGCGGCTGTGCTTCGAGTTCGCTTCGGAAGTGCAGTGGAGATCCTTGTGGTAAATCTCGTGTAACTAACAGTTCTTTTATCAAAGCTTGTGAATCACTGATCGCGCAGTTGGGTTGGTATATAATGAGAGATGGAATGCAGTGCTGGTTTTTATGATAAATACAGCCACGGATCGATCAATTTCAGAGAGTTCGCGTTAGACGAGTTTCAGAGTTGCTTTTTGTGGTTCGATTTGCTTGATTATAGCTCGGGTTTGCACTGATGGTTGTTCGCTGGACGTTGCTGCTCGACGAGCGACAGCTTTTCGCGCCCTTCGACGGTTTGAATCGCGTGGAACGCGAGGACGAACGGATCGCGAAGCGCTCGCGGCGTTACTGAGACAGAGACCCGCGCTCTTCATTCCCGCGGAGCACGTGCCGATCGTAAACACTCGCTTACGTCAGCACACATCCCGCGGAAACTCGTTTTGTCAATGAAACGACGCCGTGCCTCGTAGTTGCAGTTGGGTTTTTTTAGAAAATAGAGCTTCATCGGGTAACGACACTCGTTTAGAACGGGTCGGACGTGTTTTTGTGGTATTAACCCCTTGCAGTCGAGATGCGAATCTCAGTCAGCGTTTAATTCGATATAGGAAAGTTACCAAGTTCGACATTTAACGTTAACTTTTGCAAAAAGCATGAATATACAAAGTATTGGAATAAAATGTCGTTTGTCAGGTTACGCGTGATTTCTCGGTTAGTTTCAAAAATGTCTCGTTAGAACGTTGAAGATTTCTAGTGAAAAACTTTCGAGTGCAAAGTGTTCGTTGAACCTAAGTTTCTTGGCACTTCATTTTACGCGTGAAAGTGTCTTACTGACTTAGCAATTGTTATAATTCACCGATTTTGTAAAGCGTCGTGACAAAAGTAGAAAGTGTATGTTGAAAGATGTATTGGGAAACGGAGTATAGTAGGGGTCTAAGTGATTCTGACATAAACCTGAAATAGATGATTACAAAATGTCCAGGAGTCGTTGATAGATTTATCTTCGCTGAGAAAATATTTAGCCGGCAGATAAATCAATTTCAAGGTGAACCTTGCGTTTTATCAATTCGCGATCGCGTCTCTCGATGCCGGTGATATTGTGATTTCACTCGACCCACATATTTATCATTGCTCCACTTCCACGTTCAAATATACGAACTACGATAGACAAAAATGAGGAATAAATCAGAGGAACGAGACAGTCTATCAATTTTCCGAACACGACCGATCGATTCGAAATGACGAGAACTTAATTAAGCCTGCAGTTATCGTAAATACGTGACTCACTGGCGGACAGCAGATTTTATACGCTCGTCATGCACGCAGATGTACAGAGACCACGATGGAGCAACAAGTTCCAGAAGAACTAATGAAACTTTTTATTGTCATCGACTTAACGCATCACTCATCATCGACGCATCAACTGTTAAGCGAACTGACGCACGTTTTAATAATTCCAACAAAATCCCATGAATCCCAGAAGATTTAATTCGACAATCATCGATGATGAATATTTGAAAACAAATGTAACAATTAAAATAAAATCGCGAAGCTGTTTCCTACATTCCCAATATTTAACTACTCTATATATGATTTAGTTTTCCACCAGAAAGCTTTTTAATCATTGATCGCTTATCGATTTCACGATTGCACACAATTCGCGAATGGACAATCACGAGATTAACGTACTATCTATCGACAGCTATTAAACAGTTTAAATATTTGAATAGCAACAGCAATTGCAATCCTGATTCAAGCAATCATTTTGAGGAACATAATGTAATCACTCTTTTCGAGACTGTTGTTCAACGAGAATTATTAACCTGCTCTTCGATCGAACGCAATTATTTAAGAGCCTAATAACAGTCGTCTCTTTACCAGTTAAGTGTGGAATTTAGTTTGAAAATTATATATATCCTAACAAAAACCTAAGGCGAAACGAAGAATTTCATGTTCGTCTCAAAAAATAAATGATCCATTGAAAAAGTTAGCACCGTTAAGAGCTTTAAGATGACGTGTATACTCGTCGAACACGGTTAATTGGTTAAACGAACTGTCGAAGATCACCGTGAATCGCGAGCACGTGTATCACGCGAATCCACGAAACCAGCGGGCACGTGACCGAAAGAGAGCCAAGAGGATACTGAAGAAAGCTCGGCGTCTCGAGTGTGTCGTTTTTCGCGCGGCGTTCCTTATCGTTTGCGCCGCCTGTAAACATTTGCTTACATCACCGTCGATGTCGTCGGCAAGCAGGTCGCGTCGCGTCTACGTCGGATCCGTTTCGAACCAACCGGATTCCGCGTTTCCCCTTTTAACCTGTCCGCACGACAATTTCGAAACGGCACCGAAAAAGAAGCAGGGAATTAGGTCGCCAGAAAATCGGTATAATTCCTAACTTGCCGCGTGGAAGTTCGACGATATTCTCGATCTTCGTCGGTATCATCACTCATTTATTGAATAAATTGATAAAAAGCGTCGCCTTCGGTAGGAACTGCTTTAAAACGATTTCGAAGGAACTGAAATTAATTAGATACGTTTATTAGGCGTACCGAGAACAGCTATTTCCGACGGAAAGCGGTCGAAGAATATTCTACGGAAAATATTCATTATTAAACTCCATTATCTCCGCGGAGATAAGATCCTAGCCAAACTGGGAATTTACATAATCACCCACAGTCCATAAACTACGAATGCATAACGAATGCGGTTGAACCGCATACCCGCCGAACGGAGCCTCTATTCATCGGCAGACGAAGAAGCTGTGTATACACATGGTAAACGAAAGTCTCTAAAAAGTGTATAAATACGGGATTCCGTAGAATTCAGCGTAGCTGTATTATTTCCTCCGGAAATGCCTTAGAATAAATCACACGCTTACCTCGTCCTGTTCAGATTCCATTAGCTCCAGGGAGAAGAATAACCAGCGGATCCTTACAGTGATAGATCGTCACTCTTTCTCCAGAACCGAGGAATTCAGTGGGACCTCTAGAATTAGTAGTCCCTTCTAGTCGGGTTCTCCAAAAAACAAATCGAGCCGACAAGCGGCGCGTGTCTTCATTAACCCTTCCCGAACGAATATCGCCATTTCAGCGAGGTGGAATTATCTCAAGTCGCAAACGAATGATTTAATTACTCGAACAGCGGAGCATGTAGTTTCCGATTTTTCCATCAATTAACAAAAATCCGCGAAATTGCGAAAGTTGGTATTGAATATTAATTTCTGTGTAACTTATCAATACGTGAAGTATCGAAAGAAAATAGTGTTTTCTCGATGTACGTGCGATTTCTCAATTTCAGATGTCATCTGCGTCTCATTGGAGAACACTGAGTGTTTCCAGTGAAAAACTTCCGGAAAGGGTGAAAGGTTCCGTACGGTTCAAAGAATCTTCGTCGGCGAAGGGTTAACAACGTTAGCGTGAACGGTGGAAAAAGGGGAGGCAACGGAGCGGCAGCTGCCCACGTGTAATCTAAGAGTCCGTTTCCCTTTATCATTAATCAGCATTGCAAACAGTTTCATTAGGGCTGATTATTTTCTCGGGCGTTATCTGTTGCTCCTTAACAGCGTAACTTATGGCGTCCGGCAGCCCGATTAGAATCTCCCTGGCCGCAATTTCTCGCCGTTCCACGGCTAACTGGCATTTATCGCCAATGTCCCGACTGCCAATCGGTGTAAGGCACGCCGATTGCCGTCGTTTCAGCTCGCCTGACTGCCAAACAATCTTTCTCCGCCGCTTCCGCGAACGACTCGCCGAAACCCTTTCAACCGGCTGAGTGCGCCTCCGTCGTTCAGATATGGTAAACGGTTCGAAACCGAGTGCTCGCCGGGGTACATTAAATACTCGGGTTCAGTTACTCCGAGTTACCATTAATTGCTCGAAACTTTAAGGCGTTCCTGTGCTTTAGATAACCAGCTGAAATATTAGGTAATCGACGATGCGTTCGTTCGGACAGTTTTAACACTAGAGTCACGGAAACTGTGAGTTTAAGGGATGTTTAACCCTTTGCACTCCAGAATTTTTTTTCCAGATGACATTTGCTTAGATTGAATTAAGAAATCTCACATGCATTGAGGAAGAGAACTATTTTCTTTCAATATTTCGTACATTGATGCATTATACAAACTTTACAGTTTCGCTGTGTCAAATCATTTGGCGGCTGAGAGGCGCCTCTGGAGTGCAAAGGGTTAATTCGTTAAACGTTATTCAGTCGAGTCGAGTTTGATTCGTGCAATTATAATACAGTGTAATACTCCAGCTTCAATTTTGATGATTTATATAGACGTTTTCTAGAGTTAATAAAATAAACTGTGGAATATGTACGTGAATCTAGTGTTAATCATTTTTTGGTAGGTTTTTGGAGAACGAAGGAATATGGGATTTGATTAAATACGACTGAGGTTTAGGAGTGGTTTTATCTTTGAGATAAAATGATGCTCTCCTTCGTGAACAAATGAAATTTTATTGAGAATTATACCGCTCCGGTGTACATTTATGAAATCGATTAGACCACTTACCTGAGCGTCCCGTGAAATTCTCGCAGAAGTCTCCGTGAACAGCTGATCCAACGGGAGAAGCGGGCGCGCGGGAGATAAAGAAACGAACGACAGTTTTATCAAAACATGTATAACGATTTATTGAGGAGCTATTCAAGCATGTTAAATTTCATGAAATGCAGGTACCTACCTATCTACTCACTAGCGTTACATTAGACGCGCATTTTACTCGCAAAACTGTACGATCTATCTGTTTTTTGAAGGAGAGTTGCATAGAATTGCATTTAGTTTCGCCGCCGATCCGCGTTCCCGTCTGGCACGATCGTCGATTCAAGAATTTCCGTACTATTTAAAAAATAAACGTTCGCCGACCTAACCACGAAATTCCTCTAAAAACCACGCTACGCTCAGAACTGCCGCTCCCCGAATTTTTTCCGCCGAACGAAGCCTCCATCTATAAGAAAAAACCCTATGATCGCTATTTATACAAGACGTGTCTCGATGATCTTCGTCGAATTCATTTTTCGCAATTGTTCAAGGCCGCGGTGCCGATCGTGCTAGACGCGAGCATGGTTCCGCGCCTTTGTTCTTCTGTCTTTCCCTTTCTCTTTCTTTCTTTCTTTCTTATCTTTTTTTTTGTTCGTTTTTCTTTTTAATCTGCCTACGTTTAGTTTTGATTGCCAGTCTTCAATGCTCTGGTTTTGTCCTTATTATTTCGTCGTTCGCTTTTCCTCCGTCGACCGTCGCGCGAACAGTCAGTCACGCCTCCGTCTGACACCGTCCGAACGCCGACTCCGTCGAATATTTTCGAGTGTCCGGCCGATTAAACTTTCGGGTCCGTGTGGGTGCTTGCACGGTACAAAAAAATTGTCTGCTGTTTTTATCTGCTCGCTCATCGAAACGTGGCGACCGCGCGACGGAAAATCGAGATCGACCGATGCGAACCTCCTCTCGATTTTCCGTTGCTCGGGACCCTCTCTTACGATATACTTGGCAAAGGAATCTCGCAAACTTAATCGACTTAATCGATCCCCGTTTCAGCGACGAGGGAAATCGGATTGTTCCAATAATCGTGGTACAACGTGGATCGTGTTGAACACAAAAATAAATCAACTTATCAACTTATGGTACGTTCTTTAGTTTCCATTGTAATCACCGAAACATGAAGTTTGAAATGATAGAACACACAATTTCCTACAATTTTCAAGGTTTCGCCGTGCAACACGATTTCTGGAACACACCGTAGAATCCTCGAAATTCGCGAAGACAGGATTCGTACACATATAAACTCACGATGCATTTTCAACGCGAATCCTTTACCGTCCAATCTTCCCCGACGAGTTCACAAATCATTCGCGTTGCACCGAACAGAATCATTCCGAGTCTCCAGGATTCGCGTTCGAAAGTTCCATCGCAATGTCCGAAAAGAGCTTTCCGATTCCCACTCGCGCGAGACATTAGCAAAATCTGTGCACAAAAGAATCTCCCATCGATCAAGCAACCGATAAAACGACGTATCGAGGGATCGAGAAAAATTTTCATCGGGAAAGTTTAATCGTCCCGCCTTAGAACGTTATCATTAAAGTGTGTACGCGTGTGAATGTGTCGCTGTGTCTGAATTCGATCTTTTCCTCCCACGTGTCAGTGATTCGATTTTTTTGATTCGGGCTTCCCGCGGTTTGATTTCGTGTTATCAATCTGTTTCGCTTGTAAATTCGGAGAGGCTGGAATCGACTACGATTATTTATTTATTTATTTATTATTAGCGTGTATTCGTGTATCTGTCTGTCTGTGTGTATGTGTATGTGCGTACGTGTACGTCTGTGTACGTGTATCTTTTTAATATTTTTCCATGTGGTTCGACTCTACGACGATAACTGTGTGCCATACATCGAGAATGTATCGATCGATCTCTCGCGTTCGTCTCTCGCCGAAGAATCCGGCGACGGTGTAGGGGGAGAAACGAGTTTTCACGACGACGATGGGCTCCCCTTTCCCGGCCGATTCTTCGCGCGAGGATCGTCGACGCGCGCTTAATTATAATCCACGAACTTTTTCTTTACAGCTAGTACCAGAGAAAACGTGGGCTCAAGACCAATTTCGTTCGGCTCGACGATCGTTTTACGACGATTCGAATCTGTCTCTCGGACCGGAAATATTAGGCAGTAACGTAAGTTCGGTTGGAAATAGAAACGTTTCAATTTGAACACTTGGTCAACGAAATCGGGGCGATCTGCCCCGCTTTTCCTTCAGCAATGGATTGCCTTTCGTTTCGTTCAATTTTTCTTTTGTCATCCGGCGCGTCCTGAATTGGGGCTTTTTGCAATTCGAATGCCTTTCTTGCTTTTAGAATAACGCGTTCAATTGAATCAGTGGAATTGGCTCAATTGGAATTAATGAGGAGTTATAGCATTAGTCCTTTTCAGATTGCTCAAGTGTCAAGGACTCGATTACTGATCTGTTTCAAAGTATGATTGTGGCAGCAAGAAACCACTTCTGATTTAAAATTAGCAGTTTCACAGTTTTATGGAATTTGTGTTACGAGAGAAATGAACGTGTCCGAACGTATTTACGTTACGATCCAATATAATGCTTTCCCATTGGGAGTGACTGTCGAAGGATTTCGTAATGTCCCAGTATTAGACTGCGAGTGTTCGCGCGAATAATTTTAGACTGATCTGTGGCAGAAGAATATTAGCAGAAATTTCATTGTTTCTTCATAGGTTACTTGTTTTGGAAACAATTTCATTATAAAAATTTTCATTAAGAAGACATTACTGAGATACGAAAGAGTACTTTTAAAAACGTATCGAGTTATTCATTGATATTCAATATGATGACCATAATACAGGGAGTCCCAAAGGTTACCATATATCTTGAAAAATAATGAGAACTTTAAGAAAATAATTGTAGTGGAAAAAAATTACGTGTATACTAAAAAAGCATTGTTTAACTCGAATAGTTTGATGAACCTTTCTTCGGAAGCAACTCTAAACTTTCCATAATTTCTTAAAACGAAATATCTTTGGAACATTCAATACTACATCCACGCAGAAAATACTGTGAAACTTTATTAGAATCAACGTTCCACTGTGTTCTACAATCAAGATGCAACGAGTGCATAAACAATCGCAGTCCGGCTACTAGGGACACGAAGAACACGTGTTCAGATCGAACGATAATGGAAATTTAGCTGTGGCCGTTACAATTCCCCGATATGATTCACCGATCCGCCAGCAAAACTGGTCTCCAGCGCCCGGTGCGTAGACACATCTACGACATGTGCACGATAAATCGTTTAAATATCGACTGCGATCACGATCGCGCGTTGATCGAAAGCTTACATCGAAGTAGTCCGTTCTCATTCCATATCTTCCTTTTTTCCCACTTTTTCTGAAACCCCGCGGGGAGCCGACCGTCGCCGATCGTCGGCTCCCCGCTCGTACGTTTAAAATGACGAGTGCTAGTTTCGAAGAAACGCGATTCCGATTTATCGCAAATCGATTTACAAGGACTACAGTAGTTGTGAAAGACACGATTTAATCTACGAATCAGGGGGTCGATGTCGATGGAGACGCGGGAACGACGTTGAAACTCGAAATCTACGAACCTCTCTCGACTTCCTCCTTTCTCGTTCCCATCGATTCTCACAATTTCGCATCGTTTTTCGAAAATTGTTGCGGTCCAATTCGTATACAAATTTCACCTTAACGTGTAGAATCTTTTCTCCGACTAGTTCTCTTCCTCGTTGCAATGAAAAAATCTATTTGTCGCTGTCCATCCGCGCCGCCCCCGAAATCGACTCCCCGGCTACACACCATACACGGAGAAAAAGGGTGATACAAAATCTATGTCCAATCGAAATCCGACACACACAGATAGAATGAACTGCGTTTAGTTATTTAGTTTAATAGTGATCAGCGATAGTTGCTTCCATCTCGTTACGTAGATTAAACAGAGATAT